GTTTCCCCGCGGCTCCTTTTGTTCGGCGGCGCGGGCGGAGCGCGGCTCCCCGTCCCCTCCCGGCCCAGCTGGGCGCCCGGAGCCCGCATTGTTCCCGGCGCCGGGCGGTGACCGCGGGCGCCCGCTCCCGCGGCAGGACCGAGCAAGTGGCGGCCGGCGCGTGGCACGGGCGCCTGCGGGGCTTTAAAGGACCAGACCAGACCCGTTACCCCGACAGCCCTCCTCACCCCCGAGGATCAAGGTGAAAACCCGGCCCTCTTTTTGTCTAGCTGAATCTACGCACATACAAAGGGCCGGAAAGAAATGGAACCGAGCATCGTGAGGCGTTTAACTCGCCAGGCTTATTCGGGTGACATTGTCCCTAAGCGCTTGTGTGTGTTTGACAGGTCCTCACGCGCATCCTACCGAACCTTCCCCTCCTATCGAGGAGAGATCTCCTTTAAATTCCCATGTTGGTACCTGACCAGGAAGATATAAGAAGGAAGATGGTGCAAGCTTTTACGGGAGGGAAGGGTGTTTAAAACAGATCTGGGCGGGACTGAATTCTTTTAAGAGTTGTAGATGTGAATCATGAACAATGTGATGTGAGCGGCGAGGTAATCTTTTCATTAGCTTAGTTTTGTGCCACTTAAGGAAGTGTGTGCAGGTCAGCTGTAGAATTGAGTGAGACATTTCATATTTGGCCATAATGTAGTTTGCGGTTAACGTTACATTCATTGAAAAGAGGTTTTTGAACTGTGCCAGAGTGTTGGCTCATAATAGCTAGCATTTATATAGTACATTTTGCCTTTCCAGAGAGCAGTAACTAATTATTTTCTGTCTTGCGTCTCATCATTTTCATAGATTTCTCATTTTCCTATGTTACTTATTATGCCAGGTGTCCAGAGAGTTTACACTCGGGTTGATTTCGTGTGTTTTAATGAAAATTGAAAAAGCAGTTCATTCAGAAAAGTAGCATTTAGTTGTCATTTAGCAAAGAATAATAGTGGCCCTTTTTCTATTATTAAAGGAAATCATAAATTTCCGTAAAATTTTTTGTAATCCTACAGCTATTGCAATTTATTAGGTAATCACTCCTATGATATTGTTAGGCATGAAGTTAATAGGTGATCTTAAGTTGTAAAACCACATTTTTTGCTATGGATTGCTTCCTTACACTAGTCATTCTTAGAGAAACAACTCTAAAGTACCATAGTGATAATGTACAGTCACCAAAATGTCACATATCCAGATGGAATGTGGATAATGGTGTAAAACAATGAATTAGAAATGTAATTTTCAACAGTTGGTAGTAATAAGATTCTGGATAGGATAAAAAGGAGGCTTATTTCCATTGATGTGGAATTATGGTTGAGTCGTAGCTCTAGGTATTTATCATAACACTTGTCGTGATTGCCTCTCCTCAGCACACTTGAGATGTTTTCAGTGCTCAAAAAAGAATTGGACGTATTTTAAAAATTGAAAAACTGTTTAAACAATTTGATTTTTATGGAGCTTAGCTAGAATTATAGCTGTAGACATAGCTTCAGAATATCTCCGAACAGGATACTTTCTAATTGTGTACCTTTTTAAAGCAAGTTCTAAGGAAAATTAATACTGGTTTCTGATATCTCACTTACGTCCTTATGCTTCTGAGATACTCGTGTGTGTGTGTGTGCGCGTGCATTTTAACCAGTTGCACTAACAATTTGGCAGCTAATTTCTCCAAGATGAAGACTAATCCGGTGCTTTCTGAATATTTAGGGGGAGATTGGCTCTTTTCTTTAGAATAATCAATTCAGACGTTATTTGGGGATGATCCATTCACATTATGAAGATATTATCCATGAATAAAGATTTAAATGAACAAAAGAAAAGTGTGTATAGGAACCCCAGTGAGATAAAGTGGAATAGGAGACTGTCCTCTGCAGCGTGGCCAAGTTGATGATTTATCTGCTTTATATTCCAAGATCCTGGATTTGCTTTATAAACTTTGTTTTGCTTGTGAAGTAACTTAACTCTGATGGCTTTTCCTCCTTCAAATCACTAGTTCTATACAAGGTCCTCTGGTGTTCATTTGGGTTTGCCGGTTCCATAGCCAGCCACATTTGGTTCTTTTGGAGTTGCATAAAAGTAGGTTTATGGATTTGACTGAACTGTACTCAGCCCAAGTATTCCTTATGGTTATTTTTTTAAAGAAATTATGGTGGAGGATTCTATAGTTAAAAGAGAGATCTTGGGCAATGTTTATTCATTAAAAATTGCTGTTGAGTCACTGTAGCCTGAAGCTGCAAGCCTCCTTTGAGCTAAAGCAGCTCTAAAACTATAGTAGCGGCACCATTTTAATAACTTGGTTTTGAGTGCTGGCTTCAGAACTGGGGTTGTTTCACTTTGGGCAAGCAAGAAGTGAGGACTTTGCTTGGAGCAGGAATATGGCTTGCAGGCGAGACTGGGCTCACTGACTTTGGTACAGCCTGTGAAGTAAGAATGGTTTTGCATTTTTAAATGGTTGCAAAAAATTTTTTGTAACGTGTGGAAATTTCTTACATGAAATTCGTATCTGAGTGTCCACAAATTAAGTTTTGTTGGAATAGAGCCACCACATTCATCCGGCCTACAGTGGCA